CGGAGTGGTGCGCCTCGTGTCACGGACCCCGCTGCTGCTGGTGCTACTGCTGGTGCTGCGGACCCGGGCGTTGGAGCTGCTACTGGTGCTGAGGACCCGGGCGTTGGAGCTGCGGCTGGTGCTGAGGACCCGGACGCTGGTGCTGCTGCTGGTGCTGAGGACCCGGACGCTGGTGCTGCTGCTGGTGCTGAGGACCCGGGCGTTGGAGCTGCGGCTGGTGCTAAGGACCCGGACGCTGGTGCTGCTGCTGGTGCTGAGGACCCGGGCGTTGGAGCTACGGCTGGTGCTGAGGACCCGGACGTTGGTGCTGCTGCTGGTGCTGCGGACCCGAGCGTTGGGGCTGCTGCTGGTGCTGAGGACCCGGGAGTTGGAGCTGCTGCTGTTGCTGAGGACCCTGGTTCTGGAGTCACTGCACGGTCGCGGCCGTACTTCGTTGCGCTCCTTCAGTAGGTTCTTGGTCAGCTCCCTCCTCCTTGTCCTCCTCCCTCCTTAGGGTGTCCTCCGTCTGTCCAGCTGCAGTCGCAGCTACCGTCTGCCTCCTCTCTCTCTGGTCCTACTCCTTACACTGGTCCGACTGGAGGTCTTACTGAGCGTCGTGAGCCTGAGTCTCGTCCTGCGTCGCCTGAGTCTCGTCGTGCGTCGCCTGTCCGTGCAGCTCTCATTGGTAGTCGTGTCCCGCGTCAGCTTCTTCCTGCTGTCCCAGGCACTCACCGGATGGCGCTTGGTCCCTCCACTGCTCCACAGCGTGTCCCACTGCCGTCTCCTCCTGCGTCCTCTCTTCCTGCTCTTGCTGACCCGGGGTCAGACTCCCTTCGTGCTGCCAGTCCTACTGTCACGCGCCTCCTGGCTACTGTTGTCACTGACCCTTCCTTTGAGTCTGCTGCTGCGTTTGCCTTAGTTGCTGAGCTTGTCGACTTTGCTGCCACCTGTCGTCTAGACTACGCCGCTAGCCTAGTTGCTGAGTCTGAGTCTCTCTATCCTCCGTCCGTCGGGGGTGAGTGTGCTCTTGGCACTGACGTCCTTGAGGACAGGCAGGAGGAGTTTGAGTGCTTTGCTGCCGCTTTGCCCCATCTCGTGTCCATGCTTGTTGCCCCTAAGGGAGACCCGGATGCACCAGACATCCCGACCCCACGCTCTTACGCAGAGGGGATGGCCGGTCCCTACTCCTCTCAGTGGCAGTCAGCCATGGACACAGAGATGGCTTCCTGGAAGTCCACAGGTACCTACGTTGACGAGGTTCCCCCGCCTGGGGCGAACATCGTCAGTGGCATGTGGATTTTCAGGGTGAAGCGACCGCCGGGCTCTCCGCCTGTCTTCAAGGCGCGTTACGTTGCACGAGGCTTCAGTCAGCGAGAGGGAGTTGACTTCTTTCAGACCTTCTCCCCGACCCCGAAGATGACCACTCTTAGGGTTCTGCTGCACGTCGCCGCTCAGCGTGACTACAAGCTCCACTCTCTTGACTTCAGCACTGCTTTCCTGCAGGGCAGCCTGCACGAGGAGATCTGGCTGCGCCGCCCACCTGGCTTCACTGGGTCGTTCCCTCCTGGTACCCAGTGGAGCCTCCGACGGCCAGTCTACGGTCTCCGCCAGGCGCCACGTGAGTGGCACGACACACTGAGGACCACACTTGCGGCTCTTGGGTTCGCGCCTTCTACTGCTGACGCGTCGCTGTTTCTACGCACCGACGCCTCACTGCCGCCGTTCTACATCCTCGTGTACGTCGACGACTTGGTCTTTGCCACTGCTGACACTGCGGCACTCGCCCACGTGAAGTCGGAGCTGCAGAAGAGACACACGTGCACAGACCTGGGTGAACTGACAAGCTATCTTGGCTTGCGGATCACCCGGGACAGAGCACGCCGCACCATCACCTTGACTCAGTCACAAATGGTGAAGCAGGTCCTTCAGCGCTTCCGCTTCACGTACTCCTCGCCTCAGCCCACTCCTCTGCCTACCGGTCACTCGCTCTCAGCTCTGCCTTTGGATGAGTCCGTAGAGCCGAGTGGCCCGTATCCAGAGCTTGTGGGTTGCCTCATGTACCTGATGACCTGCACTCGACCTGACCTTGCATACCCTCTTAGCATTCTTGCACGCTATGTCGCTCCCGGCCGTCACCGGAAGGAGCACATGGATGCAGCTAAGAGGGTGTTGCGCTACTTGTGCAGTACGTCGGGCATGGGGCTAGTGCTTGGAGGGCGAGTCCCAGTTGTTCTCACTAGGCACTCAGACGCTTCTTGGGCAGACGACCAGGCTACTCAGCGGTCGTCTCAGGGTTACACCTTCAGTCTTGGCTCTGGTTCAGTTTCTTGGCGTTCTACTCGCTCTTCTTCTGTTCTCAGCTCCAGTTGTGAGGCTGAGATCTACGCCACAGCCATGGCGGCCCAGGAGCTACGCTGGCTCACCTACTTGCTGACCGACCTTGGAGAGCGGCCTCGTTCTCCTCCAGTGCTGTACGTCGACAACAAGGCAGCCATTGCCTTGTGTCAGGAGCACAGGCTGGAGCACAGAACGAAGCACATTGCTCTGCACTACTTCCTTGCTCGAGAGCTGCAGCAACGTGGTCAGCTTCGTCTGCGTTACGTGGCCTCTGAGGCCAACACTGCTGATGTGTTCACGAAGGCGCTTCAGCCTTGTGACCATCAGCGCTTTTGCACTCTTCTAGGCCTTGTGCCTACTGGACCTCACTTGCTTACTTCTTGAGTTTGTTTGTACTGTGATCTCTATATTTATATATACCTGCATGTTTACTCTTGCTAGGTTGTAATCATTGTACCTCTTGTTCTATTATAAACCTGCATGTGAACTGGTCTTGTGACCACTTGCTTGTGCTCGGAATTTGTTTGGTATCCTTGAGATCCACCCTGAGCTTGTTTTGCCTTGCTTTGCCTTGACTGGTCTTGTGACCCCCAGTTCTCCCCACTTCGCCTATGGGGGTGTGTCAAACATTATATATGTTCTGCTTGTTTAGGCTATAGTGGGTTAGCCTGTAGGGGGTACACAATTCTAGGGTTAGGTACTTGTACTGTTTTCACTGTTAGTTCATCCATTCCTGTTCATTCATTTCAACAATGTGTGCGTCCGTATGCTCGTGCGCCCGGAACGACTGCGTCTGCAAGTCACGGCCTCCGTCGTCTCCCTGCATGGCGTACCTCGTGTTCCCCTTACCGTACGACATGGAGATGCTGCACTTCACATACGGGAAACCGTCCTTGGTTTTCCCAAACACAAGCCAAGAAAAGTATCCCGCCCACTTCGTCTCGTAATTAATACTCGCCTCCAGGTACATCTGCTCTCGCAGCTGCGTCTTGGTGAGTGCCGGCGAGCCGGTATCCGCGCGCACCGGGATGTCACCTTCTTCCGGCAGCTCAGCTTCTTTCTGTGCAGGCTCATCGGGCTTTTCCGACGGTGGAATATGGCGGCCTCCCACCAGCAGAGTACTCTGCGCCCACTTACCAGATCGCGCACGCTTGGGAGCGGAAGTAGCCGACGGCGGGCCAAGGGACACCCGCACCGTGCTTGGAGTAAGACTGGGCGAAGGCGGTGGAGGATCTTTGCTGCAGCCAGCAACAGCCGGGGGGAGAGTGAACGGGACGAGAATAGGAAAAGCAGTAGGAGTAGGGGTTACTACAGGGGCAAAGTCGTGAACGGTAGACCTAGGCGGTTCAAGTGTGACGGGAGCAGCCGTAGGTCTAAGAAAATCTAGCCCAGAGCGGGGAGCATCCGAAGCTTTCTCCGGCTGGGACGGCGCTGTTGGTTTCACTGTTACAGGCGGCTCGTCGGGGCCAGTGTCCGGAGCAGCTTCGTCGGCCGGCATGGCCTCCATTGGCTGAACGAGAGGAAAATGAGACAATGAATGCACGTAATGGAAAGAACACACCAGTGAACAAAGGAACGTTGGCTGTTGGTATGGGGAGGGAAGGGGAGGTTGGAGATGGCGGAAGCACGAAACCGCCGCGCCGCGATTCCACGGACTTGATGGCAACATTCGACGATGACTTCGTCGTTGCATTCAAGGCCGAATTCATTCACAGACTCCTTGGCTGCCACCGCATGCTGTCAACAGGCCATTCTGGCCAATGGCAGACACATGCTGTGCACTGTGCGGTGCGCGTGGCAGCACCGTATCATTGATTTGGCTGCGTTGGCGCTGTTGCTAGCTGTGATGTACAGCACGTCAATGTTTTCCTTTGTCGGTATTACGTCACTCACGGGCGCGTGAAGGGGGTACCTCACATGGGGCCACTCGAAGAAATGATTACGCACAAGGGGGTTATCGAAACGAAGCTTCTAGGAAACTTCGTCCCGATACCCTCGCATTCAGGGTCCACGGAACGCATACCCTGCATAGACAGAGTCCGCAAGTACACTACTCTGAGCCTAGTTACAAGAATTCAGAGTCCGTTAAGTAGCTTCTCTGATTGGATCAGCGTTCACAAAATACAAAACCTGTGTTTGCAGGGACCACCAAGTCAGAAGCCTGTAATCACCCTGAAATCAGGGTAATTACCCTGATATCGTCAGCCCTGGTATGTATAGCTACACAATATGGTTCGCATCATTCAGCTCCATGCTAGATACGGCACCGGTACCGTGAAAGAAAAGAACATGTTGGGTTGAGGATGGACAAATCGGAGGCTACTATAGTATGAGTGGTAGAGGACATAATAATTATGCTGATCCATGGTTTGAATGAGAAAAAATTTAACGCTCTATGCTGCCTCCAAACTGCACATATTGAACTCCATTATAGAAGAACTGAAACAAGTGTACTTAGGTTTAAAAGGTTTCGAATAACGAGTCTGCTAATTTAGGCCTACATAGAGGCTATCCCTGAAATCTAACCAAGAAGCTTTCAAGCTCACCGCTGTGGCGTGCCGAGTCTTTGGTTCTCGTTTCCCATTGCGCCTGAGGTGACTTTTGAGTCGACTCAAAAGTCGCCGCGTGTTCAGTTCCTGTTTCCCGTTGCGCCTGAGCGGCTCGTTCCAGGCGCGTTGATCCCAATGGACGCTCCCGCGGGTCGCGGCGTGCGTTACACGTCAGTAACCGGCGCTTCGGGAGATTCGATTTCATCAGCTGGTGGCCGCTTCTCTCCCGCCCTCGGCCCAACTTCTCGCGGAATTTCCGGCGGGAATGGTGGCGGCGCCCCGGAGGACCGCGCGAGGCGCGTTAAGAGCCTATTAGAAGGGTATTACGGGCACGGGGGTGGAGCACCGGGAGCGGAAGACGCGTCGGGATCGGCGGCGGGAAGTTCGGGGGGTCGCGACGACATCAATTCGCGAGCGTTTGACGCGGACTCGTTTGTAGCAAACTTGGTGCGTCAATAGCAGCGGAACGAACGAGAGCTGTGATAATCTTCCTTCTCTCGTGTCCGCTCATTGATCCCCTCCTTTCTCACATACATTCCTCCGACGAATTCCATCTTCCCACTCAGGTCCGGGAAGCCAAGCGGATCGATTTGCTGCAGAAGCACAGCACGTAGCACGTCCGACGAGTTTGCCAAGGCTGCTTTCATCTCTCTTCTTCGCTCAGATTCTCTCTTCCCATACCTCTGATATACCACCTCTCAGATCCAGCAAGCCAAGCTAGATGATCTGCTGCAGAAGCACGTGTCATGGGCAGCAGAACCTGGACAGCGACATGCAGATGCCCCTGCCGCAGTGTTTGCTGCTGCTGGAGTGACATCTCCCTTCTCCGTTGCTCGCTCATGCATTCCCTCCCTCCACGGCTTTCAAACCCCCTCTCAGATCCGGCAAGCCAAGCTGGATGATTTGCTACAGAAGCACGTGTCATGGGCGGCAGAAATCAAGAACCTGGACAGTGACATGCAGATGCCCCTGCCGCTGCGTCTGCGGCTGCGGCTGCTGCTGCGGCTGCGGCTGCTGCTGCAGTGATATCTTTTTCCTCCCTTGTCATTCCCGCTTGCCTGGTGTTCGTCCCCTCACCCACTCAGATCCGACAAGCCAAGCTGGATGATTTGCTGCAGAAGCACGTGTCATGGGCGGCAGAAATCAAGAACCTGGACAGTGACATGCAGATGCCCCTGCCGCTGCCGCTGCTGCTGCGGCTGCTGCTGCGGCTGCGGCTGCTGCTGCGGCTGCGGCTGCTGCTGCGGCTGCGGCTGCTGCTGCGGCTGCGGCTGCTGCTGCAGTGATATCTTTTTCCTCCCTTGTCATTCCCCCTTGCCTGGTGTTCGTCCCCTCACCCACTCAGATCCGACAAGCCAAGCTGGATGATTTGCTGCAGAAGCACGTGTCATGGGCGGCAGAAATCAAGAACCTGGACAGTGACATGCAGATGCCCCTGCCGCTGCGGCTGCGGCTGCGGCTGCTGCTGCGGCTGCGGCTGCTGCTGCGGCTGTGGCTGCTGCTGCGGCTGCGGCTGCTGCTGCAGTGATATCTTTTTCCTCCCTTGTCATTCCCGCTTGCCTGGTGTTCGTCCCCTCACCCACTCAGATCCGACAAGCCAAGCTGGATGATTTGCTGCAGAAGCACGTGTCATGGGCGGCAGAAATCAAGAACCTGGACAGTGACATGCAGATGCCCCTGCCGCTGCCGCTGCTGCTGCGGCTGCTGCTGCGGCTGCGGCTGCTGCTGCGGCTGCGGCTGCTGCTGCGGCTGCGGCTGCTGCTGCGGCTGCGGCTGCTGCTGCGGCTGCGGCTGCTGCTGCAGTGATATCTTTTTCCTCCCTTGTCATTCCCCCTTGCCTGGTGTTCGTCCCCTCACCCACTCAGATCCGACAAGCCAAGCTGGATGATTTGCTGCAGAAGCACGTGTCATGGGCGGCAGAAATCAAGAACCTGGACAGTGACATGCAGATGCCCCTGCCGCTGCGGCTGCGGCTGCGGCTGCTGCTGCGGCTGCGGCTGCTGCTGCGGCTGTGGCTGCTGCTGCGGCTGCGGCTGCTGCTGCAGTGATATCTTTTTCCTCCCTTGTCATTCCCGCTTGCCTGGTGTTCGTCCCCTCACCCACTCAGATCCGACAAGCCAAGCTGGATGATTTGCTGCAGAAGCACGTGTCATGGGCGGCAGAAATCAAGAACCTGGACAGTGACATGCAGATGCCCCTGCCGCTGCCGCTGCTGCTGCGGCTGCTGCTGCGGCTGCGGCTGCTGCTGCGGCTGCGGCTGCTGCTGCGGCTGCGGCTGCTGCTGCGGCTGCGGCTGCTGCTGCAGTGATATCTTTTTCCTCCCTTGTCATTCCCGCTTGCCTGGTGTTCGTCCCCTCACCCACTCAGATCCGACAAGCCAAGCTGGATGATTTGCTGCAGAAGCACGTGTCATGGGCGGCAGAAATCAAGAACCTGGACAGTGACATGCAGATGCTGGTTTACGAGAACTACAGCAAGTTCATCAGCGCTACTGATACCATCCGCACGTGAGTGAGTGAGTGAGTGTGAGTGAGTGAATGTGAGTGAGGGAGTGTGAGTGCGAGCGAGTGAGTGAGTGAGTGAATGTGAGCGAGTGTGAGTGAGTGTGAGTGAGTGAATGTGAGTGAGTGAGTGAGTGTGAGTGAGTGAGTGAGTGAGTGAGTGTGAGTGATTAAGTGAGTGGGGCTGGCTCGTTTGAGAGTTCCGAACTTTGAACCCCCCCCACCAGCATGAAGGACAATGTTGCAAGCATGGAGTCCAGTCCAGTATGGGCCAGCTGCTGCTTTGTTCTGTCGCACTCACCCACTCCCTCCCTCGCTATTCCCTCTCCGTCTCACCTGCAATCCCTCCCACCAGCATGAAGGACAATGTGGCGAGTATGGAGTCCAGTATGGGCCAGCTGCTGCTTTGTTCTGTCGCACTCACCCACTCCCTCCCTCGCTATTCCCTCTCCATCTCACCTGCAAGCAATCCCTCCCACCAGCATGAAGGACAATGTGGCGAGTATGGAGTCCAGTATGGGCCAGCTGCTGCTTTGTTCTGTCGCACTCACCCACTCCCTCCCTCGCTATTCCCTCTCCGTCTCACCTGCAATCCCTCCCACCAGCATGAAGGACAATGTGGCGAGTATGGAGTCCAGTATGGACCAGCTGCTCCTTCCTCGCATCCACTCACCCTCCTCCATCCTTCCCCTCCCCTCTGACTTGTTGCTGTTCCTGCTCCCCCAACCCCCCCAACAGCATGAAGGACAATGTGGCAAGTATGGAGTCCAGTCTGGACCAGCTACTTGCCTGTACCCCACTCACCTTCCCTCTCCATCTTCCCCCTTCCCCCATCTCCCCCTCCTTGCCTAACCCCCCATCAGCATGAAGGACAATGTGGCAAGTATGGAATCCAGTCTGGACCAGCTACTCGCCTGTACCCCACTCACCTGCCTCTTTGCCGTGTTTCATTGCCCTTCCCTTGCAATGCAACCAACCATCAGCATGAAGGACAATGTGGCGAGTATGAAATCCAGTATGGGCCAGCTGCTGCTTTGTTCTGTCGCACTCACCCACTCCCTCCCTCGCTATTCCCTCTCCGTCTCACCTGCAATCCCTCCCACCAGCATGAAGGACAATGTGGCGAGTATGAAATCCAGTGTGGGCCCGCTGCTGCTTGCGTCCACTCAACATCCCCCTCCGCTTCCCATCTTCTCTTTGCCCTCTCCTCCCCCCCGCTCCCTCCCATCAGCATGAAGGACAATGTGGCGAGCATGGAGTCCAGTCCAGCATGGACCAGCTGCTGCTTTCCCCCCAACTCACCCTTTCATCCCACCTTTTCACTCACCATCAGCATGAAGGACAAAGTGGCGAGCATGGAGTCCAGTATGGATCACCTGCATCCCTTCCATCCACTCACCCTCTCCCCCATTCCCTCGCTCCTTCCCCTCTCCGCATGCAACCCCCCACCAGCATGAAGGACAATGTGGCGAGCATGGAGTCCAGCATGGACCATCTGCTCAACCTCGTCCTTGCAGGGAGTTTTTGAGAATTCTCAAAAACCTTCCTTGCCCCCTTGACTTGTTGATGTCCCCACAACCCTCACCCCCCATCCCCACCAGCATGAAGGACAATGTTGCGAGCATGGAGTCCAGTATGGACCAGCTGCTGCTTTGTTCTGTCGCACTCACCCATTCCTTCCCTCGCTATCAGCATGAAGGGCAACGTGGCGAGTATGGAGTCCAGTATGGACCAGCTGCTGCTTTCCATCCGCTCACCCTCTCCCCTCTCTCCTCGTTTCTTTCATTCCTCCCCCACTCCCCACGCTTCTACCACACCCCCCATCGCCCACCAGCATGAAGGACAATGTGGCGAGCATGGAGTCCAGTATGTACCAGCTGCTTTCTTCTGCTTCACCCACCCCATCTCTCATCTCCCCCTTCTTCCATCTTCCACCACATCTCCCCCACAACCCCCCATCGCGCATCAGCATGAAGGTCAATGTGGCGAGCATGGAGTCCAGTACGAGGTGACTTTTGAGTCGACTCAAAAGTCAACAGCTGCTTCCCTCCTTCCACTCCCTCTCTCCCATTCCCTCGCTCCTTCCCCTTTCCCCTGTGCAATTCCCCCCCATCAGCATGAAGGACAATGTGGCGAGCATGGAGTCGAGTATGGACCAGCTGCTACGCACGGTATGTGTGCTTGAATTCGTTACATAAGAATAATGAAATAAATGAATAAAATGGGGATACACAGTTGTTCACGCACACAGTAGGCGAATCTGCGCCCTGTTTGACTGCCTTGACCCTCGTTGACTTTGATTGACCCCTTTGAATGGTCCTACGTTGACGCGTCGTGGAATAGAAGAGTCCTTCCCGTCCTTAGGTTAACCCTCATTCCCTCCCTCTTCCCCTCCCTCTCTCCCCAACCCCCTTTCCCCTCTCCCAGGTAACGACCGTGCAGGAGCAGAGCACGGCTATCAACAGCAATCTGTCGAAGAGGAGGGAGCGGACTGGCAGGCAGTTCACATGGCTTCTACCCCTCCCCAGCTATCCTACCCTCCTGCCCTCCCTCCCTCTCCCAGGTGACGACCGTGCAGGAGCAGAGCACGGCTATCAACAGCAATCTGTCGAAGAGGAGGGAGCGGACTGGCAGGCAGTTCACATGGCTTCTACCCCTCCCCAGCTATCCTACCCTCCTGCCCTCCCTCCCTCTCCCAGGTGACGACCGTGCAGGAGCCGAGCACGGCTATCAACAGCAATTTGTCAGAGAGGGTTGACTGAACGTGCAGCGTTCATGCAACTTGCCGCACCCCCACCCCTCTTCGTCCCCTTTGTCCTTTCCCCCCACCCCCCCCCCCCTCTCCCCCCCCACCCAGGTGACGACAGTGCAGGAGCAGAGCACGGCCATCAACAGCAACCTATCGGAGAGGAGGGAGCGGATTGAGCAGCTGAACGGCACTCGCAGCCTGCTGAGGAAGGCACAGGTGAGTCTGGGTTCGGCTGGGTTGTGTTGGATGGATGGTGGTTTGGTGTAGATGGATGCAGCAGCAGAGCAGAGCACGGCCATCAACAGCTTTCTCTCGGAGAGGAGGGAGCGGATCGAGCAGCTCAATGGCACTCGCAGCCTGCTGAGAAAGGCACAGGTGGGATTAGGTTCGGTTAGGTTCAGTTCGGTTGTGTTGGGTTGGGCTGGGTTGGGTTGGGTTGGGTTGGATGGATGGTGGGGTGGTGTACAAAAAGATGGATGCAGGAGCAGAGCACGGCCATCAACAGCAACCTATCGGAGAGGAGGGAGCGGATCGAGCAGCTCAACGACACTCGCAGCTTGCTGAGGAAGGCACAGGTGGGCTGGGTTCGGTTGGGCATGGTTTGGTTGTGCTGGGTTGGTTTGGGTTGGCTTGGGTGGGGTTGGGTGCATGCTTTCCCTCCATATTCTGCCTGCCCAATGCCCAAGCGCCAGAGAATCTACTCTCCAAAATTCACCAGTACCATTCAAACTAGACATTGAGCATTGCATCCCCTCGCCTCCCTCCCATCGCCCTCTGCTTCTCCCTGCCTGCCTCGCAGTTCATATTCGACCTTCCCAAGCGCCTCAGAACCTACTCCAAGAATCACCAGTACCGCGCAGCAGTCAAGGCATACGTGGGCGCTCTGCCCATTCTGCAGGTAGGTAGCATGGCCTATTGCTTGCTTCCGCTGCTTCCTCGTTGCTCCTCAAATGAACCCTGTGAGCCACTGTGTGGATCCGATCCGCTGCCCAAGCGCCTCAGAACCTACTCCAAGAACCACCAGTACCGCGCAGCAGTCAAGCCTTCACTTTGGCACAACAAGCCTTCACTCCGACAGCAAGCCTTCACTTTGGCACAACAAGCCTTCACTCCGACCCTTCTGCTCCCCTGCCTTCCCTCTTCCCCTCCCTCCCATTCAGTCTTATGGCGAGACGTCCTTCAGAACATGCAAGAAGGAGGCTGATGACGTCATGGCTGGCATCAGCAAGCGGCTGCAGGCGCGGGTGATGAGTGAGGAGGAGGCGATGGAGCAGAGGGCCGAGGCTGCTGAGCTGCTGCAGGAGCTGGGCCACCAGGTGAGGGCGTTGACTGGCGTTGACTGGCGTTGACCGGGCGTTGACTTGGGGTTGACTGGGCGTTGACTGGCTTTGACTTGGTGTTGGGCCCTGAGAATGGGGGCTGCAGGCGCGGGTGATGAGTGAGGAGGAGGCGATGGAGCAGAGGGCTGAAGCGGCTGAGCTGCTGCAGGAGCTGGGCCACCAGGTGAGGGCGTTGACTGGCGTTGACTGGCAGGTGCAGGGGAGAAATAAAGGCAGGCCGGAGAGATGCAGAATAACTTAACCTTCTCCTTGCCTTTCTCATTTTTCACCACAGGTGACCCTCTCATGGACGATTTTTCTAGGCGCCTGAAACATCGTTTCTTGAGGCGCCTCAAAATTCACCACAGGTGGGCCCTCTCATGGATGCGTATCTGTCAACGCACTGGGAGCGGCTGATTGGGGATCTCAGGCAGGCGAGCGATGAGGTGGGCAGGACGGAGGAGAAGGAGGCTAACCCAGCTTCCCTTTCGCTCTAACCCACCTATGTACCCTTACCCCCCCCCCCCCCCCCCCCCTCTCCCATACACTCACACACCCACAGGTGGGCCCTCTCATGGATGCGTATTTGTCGACGCACTGGGAGCGGCTGATTGGGGAGCTCAGGCAGGCGAGCGACGAGGTGGGCAGGACGGAGGAGAGCGGCGTGGTCGACCCCACTGCTCCCTCGCAGACCTTCGTTGATGCTCTCAAAAGGGTGAGTAACTGAGGAGGGAGGGTTGGGTGAGGTGGGGGAGGGTGCAGATTGGTGGAGGAGTGGAGGCAGGCAGGCAGGTGACGAGGTGGGAAGGAAAGGGGAGATTGGCATGGTCGACCCCACTGCTCCCTCTCAGACTTTTGTTGACGCGCTCAAGCGGGTGAGTACTGGGGGGAACGAGGGTGGAGTGGGGTGGGGGAAGGGTGCAGACTGGTGGGGGAGGTGAGGCAGGCGAGTGACGAGGTGGGAAGGAAAGGGGAAAGCGGCATGGTCGACCCCACTGCTCCCTCACAGACCTTCGTTGACGCTCTCAAGCGGGTGAGTGCTGGGGAAGGAAGGAGGGTGGTAAGGGGGTGGAGTGAGGTTGGAGAGGGTGCAGGCTGGTGAGGGAGCTGAGGCAGCCTGACCGTTCTTGTCGTTCTCTTCCCGTTGTGGTTGTGGATGCTTTTGCTCCGGAGCTGTCAAAAGAGGACAGGTGGGCTGCGGAGGTCTTACTTCCATCAACTCGTTCTTGTCGTTCTCTTCCTGTTGTTTTGTTGTGGATGCTTCTGCTCCGTGCAAACTCCCTCCCTCACTCTCTTTTCCCCCCATCAGGACTTCATGGACGAATTTGAGCGCACAGCCGCGTCGTGCCGTTCCGAGGGATATTCCCCATGGGAGGGTTGCGTTTTGGACCTGCCATGCCAGTGTTGCTCTCTCTCCCTCTCCCCCATCAGTACTTCATGGACGATTTTGAGCGCACAGCCGCGTCGTTCCGAGGGATATTCCCCATGGGAGGCTTTGGAGTCGGCGATGTGTTGTTGCTGACCAGCAATGCCCCTGCTTGCTGTCGTGCAACTCTATTGCTCTTCCCTCTCTCTCCCTCTCACACCATAACAGGACTTCATGGACGATTTTGAGCGAACAGCAGCGTCCTTCCGAGGGATATTTAGCTTCCCATTGTGTGGAAGGGTATTAAGCCTTCACTGCATTGCTGACCGTCTGTTCTGCTCCTTCCCTCGCCCTCAACTCGCCCTTTCAGGACTTCATGGATGATTTTGAGCGCACAGCCGCATCGTTCCGAGGGATATTCCCCATGGGAGGGGACAAGCTCACTGAGGCCACCCGCTCCCTCTTCAACGAGTAAGGATGTGCCACGTGGCACAGCAAGGTAGTGTCGCGTGGCTTAGTGTGGTCGTGACATGTGTCACATTAAGGAACACATGGTCAAGTGATCATTGGATATAAGAAGTGTTTTGAGACGTCTCACAGCAATCCTTATATCACGTGATCATGTGATCATGCTCAGCCACCCGCTCCCTCTTCAACGAGTAAGAATGTGCCACGTGGCGTGGCCTTGTAAGGCCCACTGAAACCAGGATATTCCCGATGGGCAGGGACGGACAAGCTTTTTTATTGCTGTCAACTGGTTCCCTCTTCAATGAGTAAAAACGTTCAATTCAAAACATGCCTCACATACCACAAACGTTTGTCGGTTTTCTTCTTTCTTTCTTTCTTTCTCTCTTTCTTTCTTTCTGTCTCTCTTTCTTTCTTTCTGTCTCTCTTTCTTTTTTCTCTCTCTGTCGATTACCTGTGAAAATGTCGCCCGCTCACTCCCTCCTTGCACCTTCCCCCCACCAGGTACATCAGATACCTGCAGAGCACAGCATGCAACCTTCAACCCTGCAACGCATCACTTGTGGAAGGAATGGCCTAACCTCAATCCATCCCGCCTTCCCTGTTTTTCCCCACCACGCACGCCACCACCCACCATCCCCCCCACCCCCCCCACCAGGTACATCACATATCTGCAGCGCTGCATGCAGCCTTCAGACACCTGTTTCAGTCTCACAGCCCTGTAATCAAACTCCCACCCACCATCCCCCCCACCCCCCCCACCAGGTACATCACATATCTGCAGCGCTGCATGCAGCCTTCAGACACCCGCTCCTCGTCTGACCTCGTGTTTGCGCTCAGTGAGTGGAATGGAGCATGGGGGAGAAGGGGAGAGGGGGAGCGAGCATGAGAGGAGGGGTACATCCCAATCCTCGTCCGACCTTGTCTTTGCACTCAGTGAATGGGAGTGAGGGAAGGAGAGGAAGAGGCAGAGAGGACGGAAGGGAGTGCGAGGAACCAATTCAGCCATCATTCTCCACGTCCTCTCTGTCCTCGTCTTTGCGCTCATAGAGTGGGGAACTGAGAGGGAGCGAGCTGTGAGCATGCCTTATGATGCCTCTCTTTCCCCTCTTCTATGCCCCCCACTCCTCTACCTTGGCATTTTCCAGGAAAGATCTCTCAGGACGTGGTGAAAATGTCGGAGCTTGTCCCTGATGCTGACCTGCAGGACAGAGCGGCAGAGGTGAGTAGAGGGGAAAAAATCAGAGTCTGTAGCACTAACTCATTACTGACGTGGTGAAGTGAAGATGTCTGAGCTGGTCCCTGATGCTGACCTGCAGGACAGAGCAGCAGAGGTGAGGGGTGATGACAGGGTTAGGAAACTAACTAACTAATTGGCGGTAACAGTAACAGAGACAGTACCAGCTACAACTAATTTGAAGATGTCTGAGCTGGTAGGACAGAGCAGCAGAGGTGAGGTGAGGCAGAGGAGAATAAGGCCAAGGAACAAACCGCTGTGTGGTAAGCGGTGGTAAGCGGTGGTAACAGGTAACAGAAACACGTTAGGTGGCGGAATGTGAGGCTTTTCTCTCATGTGCCTTCCGCGCCCCTCTTTTTCCCCCTTGAAATCTCACATTTCTTGTTTGTCTCTGTCTCCCCAGGCCTTGGCAGCAGCGGTGCGCGATCACATCATGCAGGGCTTTGCACTCTTGGAGATTCGAATCACAGGTGAGCCTTGCATTGCATGAGGTGACTCTTGAGTCGACTCAGAAGTTTACTCTTGAGGCATATTCTTTTGAGGCGCCTCAAAGGCAGTGACTTTTGAGGCGCCTAAAAAAAAAATTGCGGGTAATGAGACGAATTTTGAGGCGCCTCAAAAGTCAACTCAAAAGTTTACTCTTGAGGCAGCTTCTTTTGAGGCGCCTCAAAGGCAGTGCGCGATCACATCATGCAGGGCTTTGCACTCTTGGAAATCCGAATCACCGGTGAGTTTTTCATCCCTTGCTCCTATTGACTCGCACTCAGTTGACCATCCCAACCCATGCTCGTTCACAAAACAAGGAACCCGTTCACACTTGCTTCAATTTTGACCTTTGACCCTTGACTCAAGAGACGTCTCAAAACTCCTTTCATCTCCAGGTCTGCTTTCCCTTTTCCACCCTCGCCGCTCGCCCCTTCACCCCCCTTTCCTCCACCTTTACTCCTCCCTCCAGACGGACTGCACGCAGTGGCAGCAAAGCTAGGAGCGCACGGCACGGCTCCCTGCCGTCCCTTGGTCAAGTCCTACTCAGCGGGGGTATGCCACTCGCTGCAGTGCTCGAGACTTATTCCTCCCTCCTCCTCTCCCACCCCCCTTTACTCCTCCCCTCAGACGCGCTGCATGCAGTGGCAGCAAAACCAGGAGCGCACGGCTCCCTGCCCTCCCTCGCTGCAGCCCCACCCAAGTCGCTGCATGGAGGGGGTGACAGGCCTCTGGCAGCAGTGCTGGACTCAACTCATCCCGTCTGTCCCATCCCTCCCTGGACTCAACTCATCCCGTCTGTCCCATCCCTCCCTGGACTCAACTCATCCCGTCTGTCCCATCCCTCCCTGGACTCAACTCTCGCCCCACCCTACTCCCCTCAGATGTGCTGCATGCAGTGCCAGCCAAGCCAGGAGCGCACGGCTCGTTGCCCTCCCTTGCTGCTGCCCCGTCCAAGTTGCTCCCTCGCCCCCCGCCCCTCGCCCCGTGTCCCATCTCTACTCCTTCCCACCCCTCTCTACCCCCTCAGATGCTCTGCATGCAGTGGCAGCCAAGCCAGGAGCACCAGGCTCTCTGCCCTCCCTCTCTGCGGGCCAGGCCAAATCGCTTCGTGGAGAGGGGGACCGACCCCTGGCAGCAGTGCTGGAATCAGTTCAAGGACTCATCCTCAACTCGTCCCTAAGGCTGCTGGAGGTATGGATGGGCGGTGGTTTGATCCGCACCACATGTTGTGGTCTTGCTTTGAGTGCGCTGCTTGCTTGGTATGGGCGGTAGGCAGGGAAGGGAGAGGTTTCTGCCAGCAGTGCTGGAGTCAGTGCAAGGACTCATCCTCAACTCATCCCTAAGGCTGCTGGAGGTAATTCGTAAGAGTCCTAGCTCTTTTGTCTGTCTCTTGCTATTGCTGAGTGTGCCGTATGGAAGGCAGGCGGGACCGACCTCTGGCAGCAGTGCTGGAGTCGGTGCAAGGACTCATCCTCAACTCATCCCTAAGGCTGCTGGAGGTAATTCGTAAGAGCCCTAGTGCTTTTGTCTGTCTCTTGCTATTGCTGAGTGTGCCGTATGGAACGCAGGCGGGACCGACCTCTGGCAGCAGTGCTGGAGTCGGTGCAGGGACTCATCCTCAACTCGTCCCTAAGGCTGCTGGAGGTAAGCTGGAGGAGGCCTAGCGCTTGCTGGGTCTGTGATTCTCGTCTCGTAGTATGATAGTGCACTGCTTGGTATGGGAGGGAGAGGACATGCCGCTGGCAGCAGTGCTGGAGTCGGTGCAGGGACTCATCCTCAACTCGTCGCCAAGGCTGCTGGAGGTATGACCTCTGTTTCATGAAGCTTGGAAATCTTGCTCTAGTTTTGTTGTGAGTATGCTTCTGCTTGGAAGGAGTGGAGGACAGGCCGCTGGCAGCAGTGCTGGAGTCGGTGCAGGGACTCATCCTCAACTCCTCTCTCAGGCTGCTAGAGGTACTGTCGGTGTCACAACTTCCGTTCTCTCATCTTTCTTCCCCTTGCTCTTCCGTTTCCCGCCCTCCCTCCCCTCGCCGGGACTTCCTGCTTGACATCTGCTTGTACTTCTGTCTCCCGTCCTTCAGGATTTCAAGTCTCTCCTGAAGAGATGGTTGCACGATCGTTTGAAACAATCCAAGTTCATATAGGGAGGCGCCTCAAAAATCATTTCAAGTCTCTCCTGAAGAGATGGTTGCACGGTCGTTTAAAACGATCGTTTCAACCATCTCTCCTCCCCAACTGATGATGACTTCCTCTCGCTCTCTCATCTTCTCCCTTTCTATCTCTTTCTTGTGCCTTTCTTCTCACACGTTCCCTCCTTCAGGATTTCAGGTCCCTTCTCCATGATCATGTCGACCTCCTCTCCTCTTGGACCGACGACTTCCTCTCGCTCTCTCATCTCTCTTCCCATTCCACTTCCATTTCCCCTGTACACCCGCCCCCGCCCTCCCTCCTTCAGGATTTCAGGTCCCTTCTCCATGACCGCGTTGACCTCCTCTCCTCCTGGACCGACGACTTCCTCTCTCTCGTCCAATCACAGCTCTCCGTGCTCTTCGGCTCCCTCAACTCCCACTTCCTCACCCTCTCCACCCCTCCGCCTGCCCACGTGCATCAATCCCCCACTGGCACTGAGCGCCCCCCTCCCTCCACGCCTGGGTCAGGTAAGCCACTCCTTTTCCCCTTCATCGCTCTTTCTCCCTCCCATTCTCCCCTCTCCGTTCTTTTCGGCTCCCTCAACTCCCACTTCCTCTCCCTCTCCACCCCTCCTCCTGCCCACGTGCATCAATCCCCCACCGGCACTGAGAGGCCACCTCCCTCCACCCCTGGGTCAGGTAGGCCTGTGAAAGGTGCTCTTCTCTCTTTCTCCTGCCCTCTCTGTTCTCTTCGCCTCCCTCAACTCCCACTTCCTCTCCCTCTCCACCCTCCCCCCTGCCCACGTTCACCAATCCCCCACCGGCACCGAACGTCCCCCTCCCTCCACTCCTGGGTCAGGTAAGCCACTCCTGCATCCTCTCACCTCATCCGCTCTCTCTTTCTTCTCTCCTCTTCATACTCTTCGCCTCCCTTAACTCCCACTTCCTCTCCCTCTCCACCCCTCCGCCTGCCCACGTTGACCAATCCCCCACCGGTACTGAAAGGCCTCCTCCTGCAGGCTGCAACACCTGACCTGGGTCAGGTAGGCTCCCTCATCTTCTTCCTACCCACCCCGCTCTGTGCCCCTCTCCTCCTTCAACCCTTACTTCGTTCTCTCCCTCTCCATCCCTCTCCATCCCTCTCCATCCCTCTCCATCACTCTCCATCCCTCTCCATCCCTCCGCCTCCTCACGCCCACGTGCATCAACCCTGTCACATGTGACGTGAGGCATGAAAAGCTAGGCATATTAGGCCGTAGGATCAGAGCTGGCCTATCCCTCTCCACCCTGCCGCCCACCCACGTGCACCAGTCCCCCACAGGCACTAAAAGTCCTGCCTTGTGTTTGTGCCTCTCTCCACATCATCTATGTCCATTTGTGCGTGCATATGTTGCTACGTGATAAAAGTTGAGTTCTGAGACGGCTCGAAACTCAACTTTTATATCACATGCCTCTCTGCTGCATCATCTGTGTACATTTGTGCGTTCATATGTTGCTTGCACCAGCAGGGCCCGTGCCCGTGGTGCTGCTGCCAGCATGTGTGTTAGTACTGCATGCATATGTATGGAAAGCGCCTCAAAGTATATGTACTTGTTTGTAATTCCTCCATCCAATCCAACCATCCATGCTTGCAGCAGGAGGACCTGTACCTATGCTGGTGCTGCTGCTAGCGCGCCTCTCTCTCTTCATCCAACACACTGCCCTGCCCAAGCTAGCCACGGTAAGTGGGTCTTTAGCAGCCTCTAGTTTGGCACCAGTTGGTGGAGTGACAGTGCCCTCCTGCTGCTGCTGCTGTTGCTGCTGCTAGCGCGCCTCTCTCTCTTCATCCAACACACTGCCCTGCCCAAGCTAGCCACTGTGAGTACGGGCCTCAAGTCTGGCACCTGTTAAGGGAGTGACAGTGCTGCTGCTGCTGCTGCTGCTGCTGCTGCTGTTGGTGCTGCTGTTGCTGTTGCTGCTGCTAGTGCTGCTGCTAGCGCGCCTCTCTCCCTTCATCCAGCACACTGCTCTGCCCAAGCTAGCCACTGTGAGTGAGCCGTTGTAGTCAACCACTGTAGTGAATATCAAGCACATATGGCGAGTGTTAGGGTCTCGGGCTCAGCTCCTGTTTGGGGAGTGAAAGTGCTGCTGCTGTTGCTTCTGTCGGTGATGCTGGTGGTGATGCTGGTGCTGCTACTGGTGCGACTCTCTCTCTCTCCTCATCCAGCACCCTGGGCCCTCCAAGCTAGCCGATGTGAGTGGGTCTTTAGCAGCCAAGTGAGCAGGTACGAAGAGAGCAAGCGCACGATCTGCGCAAGCGCCTAGCCTCCCTTAGAACTATAGCGCCATGGCTCCCACGCCTGCAAACCCCGCAAATCGCAGCATGCCTTCTAGCCGTATGTCTTTCTTACCTCCTTCGCACTGTTCCCCCTACGGACGACGTTTTAGAGGCGTACAGTGACTAGGATGACCACCTCTTAGACACGCTCATCTCTCTCTCTCTCTTCCTGCCAGACTATTGGGACCAAGTCACCACAGAGGGGCAGTTAGCACGATCACAAGTGTTCTTGCCGATCCGAATGGAGGGTCTAGGTATTCAGAGCGCACGCCGGCACGCCTCCCTAAGCTACGTCTGCAGCTGGGCACAAGCGATCCCAGTCCTAGCCAACAATTGCTGTACCCAAGCTACCCTTTCGTCGCCACTGATGTTGTTGACCACCTAGACCCACAAGCCACACGTGCTTTATCACTCGTCTGCTGGTTTAACTTCTCTTCAGGACCCATGCACCACCAGCAGACGGGTCCTCAAGGGAAGTTAAAGGGACTAGCTGATGGTGCTAGGTAGTAGCGGCGCGTAACTGCTCTGCAGCATGTGCAGAAATGCGTTGAGCAAGGTCAGAGAAGATCCGGTCGGATAGCCAGCTAGGAATGCGGACCAAGGGGGGACGAGGTGGCGAAGGTCCTGAGGTAAGGCAGCTAAAGCACATGTGGCTTGTGGGTCTGGGCGGTCAACAGCATCAGCGGCGATGAAATGGTGGGGTAAATTATCACCTTGGGTGCAGCAATTGTTAGCTAGTACTGAAATCGCTTGCGCCCAGCTGCAGACATAGCTAAGGGACGCGTGCCGGCGTGCGCTATGGATGCCTAGACCTCCTATTCGGATCAGCAAGAACACTTGTAACCGCGCTAACTGCCCCTCTGTGGTGTCTAAGTCCCAACAGTCTGGCGGGAAGAAAGAGATGCGCGTGTCTAAGAGGTGGTCGTCCCAGTCACTGTACGTAGGGATGAGCAAGGGGCGAACACGAACGTGTTCGCGTTCGCCCCTGCGCGAACACAGCCGAACACATTTGGCGAAAATAGGTGTTTGCTGTTCGCCTGTGAAGGCGAACACCTTGCTTGGAAAGGCGAACACCTTGCTTGGAAAGGCGAACACCTTGCTTGGAAAGGCGAACACCTTGCTTGGAAAGGCGAACACCTTGCTTGGAAAGGCGAACACCTTGCTTGGAAAGGCGAACACCTTGCTTGGAAAGGCGAACACCTTGCTTGGAAAGGCGAACACCTTGCTTGGAAAGGCGAACACCTTGCTTGGAAAGGCGAACACCTTGCTTGGAAAGGCGAACACCTTGCTTGGAAAGGCGAACACCTTGCTTGGAAAGGCGAACACCTTGCTTGGAAAGGCGAACACCTTGCTTGGAAAGGCGAACACCTTGCTTGGAAAGGCGAACACCTTGCTTGGAAAGGCGAACACCTTGCTTGGAAAGGCGAACACCTTGCTTGGAAAGGCGAACACCTTGCTTGGAAAGGCGAACACCTTGCTTGGAAAGGCGAACACCTTGCTTGGAAAGGCGAACACCTTGCTTGGAAAGGCGAACACCTTGCTTGGAAAGGCGAACACCTTGCTTGGAAAGGCGAACACCTTGCTTGGAAAGGCGAACACCTTGCTTGGAAAGGCGAACACCTTGCTTGGAAAGGCGAACACCTTGCTTGGAAAGGCGAACACCTTGCTTGGAAAGGCGAACACCTTGCTTGGAAAGGCGAACACCTTGCTTGGAAAGGCGAACACCTTGCTTGGAAAGGCGAACACCTTGCTTGGAAAGGCGAACACCTTGCTTGGAAAGGCGAACACCTTGCTTGGAAAGGCGAACACCTTGCTTGGAAAGGCGAACACCTTGCTTGGAAAGGCGAACACCTTGCTTGGAAAGGCGAACACCTTGCTTGGAAAGGCGAACACCTTGCTTGGAAAGGCGAACACCTTGCTTGGAAAGGCGAACACCTTGCTTGGAAAGGCGAACACCTTGCTTGGAAAGGCGAACACCTTGCTTGGAAAGGCGAACACCTTGCTTGGAAAGGCGAACACCTTGCTTGGAAAGGCGAACACCTTGCTTGGAAAGGCGAACGCGGACGTGTTCGAGGCAAACACGTTCGTGTTCGCCAAGGGACACCTTTCACTGTAGTCACACTTGCAAAAAAGGGAATCTGACGCCCCCTAAACGCATACTCCCTACTTTAAGCGCAAGTTCTTCAAGGTTCCGCTATTCTGGTAACCACTAATGTAACCTAAATCAATCTAAGATGGTGTAGTGAGGGTTCTAGGACTGCTAGGAAAGGGCGGCAGTGGGCGCTAAGGGGCTGGCGATTAGGTCGCGGATAGTTCGAGCTAAAAAATTGAGCTCAAACATCAAGGCCCGCGACCTAAAAATTGGTCGCGGGCCAATTCGTCGACGAACACCGAAGTGTTCGTCGAAGCCCCGCGTCGAACACGAACGCGTTCGTGTTCGATGCGGCTCGGCCAGTTGACGAGGGTGAACACCGAACGTGTTCGCCCGAACAGCGAACACGTTTGAGGCGAACATTTTTGGGCAAAAAAAATCCCTGTTCGGTTCGCCTCAAACGTGTTCGAGGCGGACCGAACAGGTGTTCGTATCTATGCTCATCCCTAACTGTACGCCTCTAGAACGTCGTCAGTAGGGGGAACTGTGCGAAGTGGATAAGAAGGATCTACTGAAAGACATACAGCTAGAAGGTGCGCTGCAACTTGCGGGTTTTCTAAGCGTGGGAGCCATGGCGCTGCAGTTCTAAGGGAGGCTTGGCGCTTGCGCACTTCGGCAGTGATGAAATCTGGCTCGCCTATAGGCACCCATGCTACTATGATGCCCCTGTCCTAAGTGCACGGCCTTTTCTTTGGTCGCCGCAAAAACAGGATCCAGCACACTGTTCTGCCCAAGCTAGCCACGGTGAATGATTATTTAGCAGCCAGACGCGCGGGTGCAAAGGGAGCAAGTGCACGGTGGTGGGCCTACGGGCCCCAAGCCCCCAACTCTCCTAGGCCTAGCCTAGATTCCTAGGGGCTGTTAAGGAAGTGACGCTCCTGCTCCTGCTCCTGCTGCTGCCTCAACTCCCTCTTCTCCTTGTCAGACCTCATTAGGCCCCTCCCTTCTTCCTTCTGTTGTTTCCTCTGCTCATCTCTCAGGTGATTCAGGCCCAGCTTTCTCCCCTCCCCAAACATCCTGCATTCGGACAATGGGAAATATCATCTCTTGTTCTCTACGTCCTTCCTTCTGTTGTTTCCTCCCTTCTTATCCCAGATTCTCGAGACCCAGTTTGCTCCTCACAATGTCCGATTAGATGATGACAGCGAGCAGCTCTTCTCCTCCTCAGACCTCATGCGTCAGTTTCATGACACTTCCGAGAAGCTTCTTCAGCAGGTGAGGAGGATTTGCAGAGAGTGCTGCTGAGAGTGCTTGCATTGTTAGTGAGGGAAAAACCAAAACATCGCCAAAAAAAAAAAAAAAAAAAAAAATATCGTACCGTAATGTTTCTTTTTAACCATGTGCAGCGTGCGCCCTCACCCCTCTGCTCCACTGCCGCTCGTATGCTGCATCAGATGATCGCCAAGAAGTGATCCCCATTCCCCTCTCTCTTCCTCCCTCCCTGCCCTCTTTCTGTCCCATGTGTGCACCAACCAGTATGTGGATCTCAAGGCACGTAAGCTGCGATGATCGCCAAGAGTGTATCCACTCCACTCTCCATTCATCCCTGCTCCCCTGCCGCCCCCACACCTCTGCCTCCCCCTCCCTGCCCATGTCCTACATGCACAAGCCAGTATGTGGATCTCTAGGCTCATAAGCTGCACCAGATGATCGCCGAGAAGTGATCCCCATTTACCCCTGCCTTATCACGGCTCTCTTCCCAGTTTTGAGTCGACTCAAAACTAGCGATCCCCATTTACGCCTGCCTTATCACTGCTCTCTTCCCCCCCAATTTTCTCCCCCCCTCTCCTCGCCCTCTTTCCCTCATCTCCCTGCTTTCTTGACTTGCATGCACCAACCAGTATGTGGATCTAGAGGCTCGCAAGCTGCATCCGATGATCGCCAAGAGCTGATTCTCATTCACCCCAGCCCTCCCTCCTTCTCATTCACCCCAGCCCTCCCTCCTTCTCATTCACCCCAGCCCTCCCTCCTTCTCATTCACCCCAGCCCTCCCTCCTTCTCATTCACCCCAGCCCTCCCTCCTTCTCATTCACCCCAGCCCTCCCTCCTTCCCCAATCTTCTCCTGATCTCTCCCCCATCCCCCTTCCCTCCCTCCCTGCCCTCCCCATGCGTGCACAAACCAGTATGTGGATCTGGAGGCTCGCAAGCTGCATCAGATGAGATGACCGCCATTCACCCCACCCATACCCCTGCTTCCCGCCTCAATACACCCCTCCCAACCCACCCCAACCTCTTCCCCATGCATGTACCATTCAGTATGTGGATCTGGAGGCACGGAAGCTGCATCAGATGATCGCCAAGAGTGTGTCCACACCACACTCCATTCATCCCTCCTCCCCTTCCGCCCCCACACCTCTGCCTCCCTCACCTTGCCTTGGCCATGCGTGCGCATTACCAGTATGTAGACCTGGAGGCACGGAAGCTGCATCAGATGATCGCCAAGAGTGTGTCCACACCCAACTGGGTCAAGGTGCGTTCTTGCTTAGCTCACAATAAGGTGACAATCCGATGAAGTAAAGGGAATATGCAAAGGAGGTCTTGGATTCGAGCCACTGTTCAGTAGGAGGATACACTGCTCTTTCAGCCCAGCCCAGAAGGATAGGCAGTTGAATGAATTCGTTTAACTCTTAATATATTTTCCCAGATCTGTTTTTTGAGGCTCCTAAAAAATCTGCTCTAGCTCTTTCAGGCCAGTAGGACATTGAACTCGTTCAACTTTCTGTAGGTTTTCCCCTTCCATGCCTACCACTCTCACTTCCCTTCCCCGCGCACAGTACGAGGACGTGCGTATGTGGTGGATTTGATTCTCCAGGAGTTGGAAACAGAGAAGATTCTTTGCCACCCACTGTGCCTCCTTCGTCTCCCTCATCCCCTCTTTCTTCCCCCACGCCCCCCTCTCTTCTGTCACACACAGTACAAGGAGCCTTGGGATGTGCGTATGGTGGTGGGTCTGATTCTCCAGGAGGTGGAATCAGCCGAAGACTTAGTGGAGCAGCATCTACTGCATGTAAAATCGAATCGGTCATTCCCTCTCTTTCCCTCACCCTCCGCTCCTCTACTTCTCCCACTCCCTCTATCTACCGTACAAGGAGCCTCGGGATGTGCGTATGGTGGTGGATCTGATTCTCCAGGAGGTGGAATCAGTCGAAGATTCAGTGGAGCAGCTTCTGCTTGAAATAACAACAAACATGTATCACAATTCCCTCTACCCTCCCCTCCTCCCCCCCCACACAGTACAAGGAGCCACGGGATGTGCGTATGGTGGTGGATCTGATTCTCCAGGAGGTGGAATCAGTGGAAGACTCAGTGGAGCAGCTGCTTGAACCCGGGGCTGAGCGCTCCCGAACCTCGCGAGGAGGGTCGGGAAGCAGCTACGGCAAGAGCCGCGGGAGTGCAGGCTCGGGAACGGGAGGAGTGGGGGGAGGAGGAGGGGGGGGTGGTGGGAGGAGCGGGATGGGAGGCGGGCAGAAGGAGAGGGGGGGCACGAGGGGTAGGGTTTTGGAGAGGGATGTTGCAAAGCTGTTTAAGCAACGAGTGGAGATCTTTACTAAGCTTGAATTCACTCAGGTAAGCGCCGTTGTGGGTAGGGTAGGCTGGGGATGAGGAAAAGGGTGTAAGAGATGTGGCAAAGCTGTTCAATCAACGGGTGGAGATTTTTACCAAGCTTGAGTTCACTCAGGAGGTAAGCGCAGTCAAGGCAGATGGGGAGGTTGAGTGGGGGGAGATGGGGGGGAAATCGAACTCAACCTGAAAAATCGATCAGTGTGGTGAAGATCCCCATGTGATGAGTCGATTTTTCAGTCGACTCAAAAATCGACTCAACCTGAAGATTGAGCAGTGAGGTGAAGATCGAGCAGTGTGGTGAAGATCGAGCAGTGTGGTGAAGATCGAGCAGTGTGGTGAAGATCGAGCAGTGTGGTGAAGATCGAGCAGTGTGGTGAAGATCGAGCAGTGTGGTGAAGATCGAGCAGTGTGGTGAAGATCGAGCAGTGTGGTGAAGATCGAGCAGTGTGGTGAAGATCGAGCAGTGTGGTGAAGATCGAGCAGTGTGGTGAAGATCGAGCAGTGTGGTGAAGATCGAGCAGTGTGGTGAAGATCGAGCAGTGTGGTGAAGATCGAGCAGTGTGGTGAAGATCCCCGTGAAGAGCTCTGATTTCTGCCTCTTCTCTGCATCACGCCAGGTGTATGTATAATACCTGTACCTCTAGCTCTTCACATACCACCCCCTACTTGTATGAAGATTGGTTTTGAGACGTCTCAAAACCAATCTTCATACACATTTCTGCCTCCTCTCTGCATCACGCTATGTGTATGTATAATACCTGTACCTCTAACTCTTCACATACCACCCCCTACTGCAGGTGTTGGTGCTTGCTACTGTAGTGTGTGATAAGTCGAGGTTTCAGTCGACTCAATACTCGACTTATCACATACGGCAGGTGTTGGTGCTTGCTACTATAGTGAAGCTCACTATCAAGAGCTTCCAGGAGTGTGTGTGGCTGTAGACGTTCAACCGAGGAGGTTACCAGCAGATGCAGTGATTGCCCTTGTATACCCATCCCAACCAAACCACCATGGTTCCCACAGGTGTCAGTGATGGCCACGGTGGTGAAGCTCACTCTGAAGAGCTTCCAGGAGTGCGTGCGACTGGAGACATTCAACCAAGGAGGTTACCAGCAGATGCAGTGATGCCATCTTCATACCTTCCCTACTGTGCTTCCCACAGGTGTCAGTGATGGCCACGGTGGTGAAGCTCACTCTGAAGAGCTTCCAGGAGTGCGTGCGGCTAGAGACGTTCAACGGAGGCGGTTACCAGCGGATTCAGTGTATTCCATTCCATGTGTATACCCAACCCACCGTGGTTACTGCAGGTGTCGGTGATGGCCACGGTGGTGAAGCTGACTCTAAAGAGCTTCCAGGAGTGCGTGCGCCTGGAGACGTTCAACCGAGGTGGCTACCAGCAGATCCAGCTGGACGCTCTCTTTCTCTGTGAATCGCTTCGGGCTTATGTGGACGACGAGAGCGCTGTGGACACTCTTATGGACGAGGTGGGCTGGTTTGGCTGGATTTAAGTGGTTGCCTGCAAAGTGAAAGTGAAAGGTGTCTGCGGGCTAATGTGGATGATGAGAGCGCCGTTGACACTCTTATGGATGAGGTGAGCTGGGCTGAAATGGGTTGGAGGAAGATGGTTACCAGCAAGTTGTGACGCTGTTACCAGCAGATCCAGCTGGACGCTCTTCCTCTGTGAATCACTAAGGGCTTATGTGGACAATGAGAGCGCTGTTGACACTCTCATGGACGAGGTGGGTTGGGCTTGATGGGGCTCAAAGGTGGTTACAATAGAACTAGAAGCGGCTGTCAGTGTCATGAGAGGCAGTTATCAGCAGAATCAATTGGATGTACTGTTATGTGGACGATGAGAGTGCGGTGGACACTGCTTTGGACGAGGTGGGTTGGTGTGGAGAGGGGGGAGAATGGGTGGATGCTCATTAACAGGTGGTTATCAGCAGAAGCAGTTGGATGCACTATTATGTGGACGATGAGAGTGCGGTGGACACGCTCATGGACGAGGTGGGTGGGTGTGGAGAGGGGCCATAAGGAAATTAACAGATGGTTACCAGCAGAATCAGTTGGACGCAGTATTATGTGGACGATGAGAGTGCGGTGGACACTGTTTTGGACGAGCTGAGCTCACATGAGTTCTTTGTGTGCACAGCAGTTTTGAGTTCTTTGTGTGCACAGCAGTTTTGAGAGTTCTCAAAAGTGACTCCCAAACAGCATTAGCAGCAGTGAATTCTTTGTGTGCACAGCAGCAGCAGCAGCAGCAGAGCCCTGTCTCTATTCCACACCCATACATGCTTCGCTATAGACTCATGTCTATTGCCATCACATGCTGCCTCCTGTGCCATGTTCCTTTGGAGTGACTTGTGAGAATTCTCAAAAGTCACTCCAATATAGCTGGCCATGTTCCTGGCCCCGACTGGCTCCACCTGCCTTGCATCCTTCCTTCCCTCCCCTTCCAGGTGTGCACGGCAGCAGCAAATCGCAGCCTCGACCCCCAAATGCAGTTTCCATGTCGATTGCCTCTCACATGTTGCCTCCTGCCTTGTACCTGACCCATCGCTGTGTTCCCTTCACTTGCCCTCCCTCCCTTCCAGGTGTGCACAGCAGCAGCAGAGCGCAGTCTCGATCCCACATCCTGTGTAATTAGTCGTGTTATGGATGCAGTTGCCATGGACTCCTGTGAATCGCCCTTCACATGTTGCGTCCTGTGTTATTAGCCGAGTTCCCTTCACATGCCCTCCCCTCCCTCCCCCTCCCAGGTGTGCACGGCAGCAGCAGAGCGCAGTCTCGACCCCACATCTATGGATGCAGTTGCCATGGACCGAATCATGCAGGCCAAGCGATCTCGAGCATCCGCATAAGTGCTACAATGGAATGACACAGGTGACGTAATCTTGCGTGGGGCAAGATGTGGACCGATACCGATGGTTCTGTGGACTCACATCCATGGATGCACTTGCCATGGACCGAACCATGCAGGCCAAGCGATCCCGAGCATCCGCATAACAATGGCCTGGGACAAGACGAGTCCTTTATGTTACGGCACAAGACAAGCAACGCGCGTTCGCTGCAGGGCAGCACGCAGGTGGTTTGTGTCAGTGACTGTGACTGCTCGTTCATGGATGCAGTTGCCATGGACCGAATCATGCAGGCCAAGCAATCTCGACTATCCACATAGTGAACTGTGTCCATCAACACCAGTTGCTGTGTGGAAGATCTCGGCCGTCCACATAAGCGATATCGAGCGTCCACATAGTGGACTGTGTCCATCAACACTTGCTGTGTGATAGAACCAAGTTTCGAACATGATAAGGTAAGAAATCGCAAACGTATGATACATTAAAAATAATTTCCCTCTCGCTGATGTGTCAGGATGGCCGAGTTGGTCTAAGGCGCCAGTTTCAGGTACTGGTCCGAAAGGGCATGGGTTCGAATCCCATTCCTGACAGAATAGCCTCTTTGCTTTTCACCTGTTGTTGTTAGCTTTTGTCCCCTTCATTACTCTCCCCCTTCTTCCTCCCAATTTACATATCTCTATCCCCATTTCCTCTATCGGCATTGCTGATGCCACCAGCAAATGGTCAAACAAAAATTCGCTGGACAAACGGTCAAACAAAAATTCGCTGGACAAACGGTCAAACAAAAATTCGCTGGACAAACGGTCAAACAAAAATTCGCTGGACAAACGGTCAAACAAAAATTCGCTGGACAAACGGTCAAACAAAAATTCGCTGGACAAACGGTCAAACAAAAATTCACTGGACAAACGGTCAAACGAAATTTTAGGGCGTGTAACTTTTCACATTTCATCGTCCGGCCGGGCAGCACCTCAGTAAGAGCTTCGCGAGATGCACTGGGACGTCGCCACCGTCCGGACCATATCTGACACTTTTCTGTCAAAAATTGGTCCGGACTACCCTGCTGACACCGTCCGAACGGCATTTCGGACTGTCCGATTTTTCTGCGCTGTCATTGGCGCACGATGTGATGAAAATTTCACCCAATACGACGCCGCCGATTTTTGGAGGCGAGCCCTTACGACACTTTACGAGTGCAGTAATGTCTGTTACATTCTATAACGAAATTAAAAGAAATCGGGTTTCAAAAAAGTTCCACATCTGTGGTCCAGACGGGCTATCGTCCGGACCTGAGTCTCAAACGTCCGGACGGAGCTCTGTTCGGACGTTTTGGGGGCTCCGTCTGGACATTTGACGAAAACGGAAAGAGTTACACGGCCTTACTGGACAAACGGTCGAACAACATGTAGAAAGGACTGACCTCCTTGGACCGAAAGATGTCACTGACACATGTTTCAGGACGATGAGCGCATCAATACCATTGAGGATCAGAACAAACAGCGTCCTTATAGGGAACATTAGGATTCAGCTGTCAAAATAATAGGCTAAGTTGAAAGGAAGGGCCTAGGCTTAGTAGCCTAGGCCCGTACTTAGGTATCGAGCGGGTTTTACCCTAGGCGAGGTGTCGAGTGAGTTGAGAGAGCAATTGGAGAAAAGAGGTGTCTTCACTATAGGTTCAAGGGTACATAAAGCATAGAAACCAAATAAGGTGCACCACCAACAACAATTTAAATAACTACACTAACTACAACTACAAGCAGTTATAAAACATGACAATATATTTCGACACGCCCCCATAATGCTTGTAGGTAGATATGTAGTTACAGCATAGCAAGCAACAGCAGGTACCCCTTCCATCTCCTCACCCTCCTCCTTCCCCTCCCCCACACTGCTGCAGAGCAGCAGAGAAGGGGGGGAAGTGAGGAGTGGTGGAGGGACGGCTGCATGTTGCCTCACACCCGCCACCCCGGTACCACTCCCTCTGCTCTCCCACATCCTCACACCCCCCTCCCCCCAGCGGCAGCTGCATCGGTGGGACGAAAAGAAGGAGGAGGGGAAGGGAGAGAGGTGACCCAACACTCCAACACCCTCCACCCCCATACCCTCCTCCCCACGGCTGCAGGGAGACAAAGGAAGAAGGGGGTGGGAAGGAAGAAAGCCGCAGAGCGGCGAAGAGGTGTCGGTGCAGATGAGTCAGGGGCAGCTTCGGGGAGAGCAGGGGCGGAAAGGCCCGTCGCGTGCCAGTGCCACGGGGCGCACGACGGGTAGAAGAAAAAAGAGGGCCCGATCGTGCGCCTAGGGGCGCACGACGAGCAAGGCACCATCGTGTGCCACGGGGCGCACGACGAGCAAGGCACCATCGTGTGCCACGGGGCGCACGATGGGCAGATGAAGGGCACCGTCGCGTGCCACGGGGCGCGCGACGGGCAGAGTAGGAGCCACACACCCGTGGGCGGGACTAAGTAAAAATCGTCACGCGCCCTAGGCGCGCGACCGAAAAATCATCGCGGAAGCGTAAGGCGGGCCCACAGGCCAGGTTGTAAAAAGCTCCGATTCCATGTCAAAATAATAGGCTAAGTTGAAAGGAAGGGCCTAGGCTTAGTAGCCTAGGCCCGTACTTAGGTATCGAGCGGGTTTTACCCTAGGCGAGGTGTCGAGTGAGTTGAGAGAGCAATTGGAGAAAAGAGGTGTCTTCACTATAGGTTCAAGGGTACATATAGCATAGAAACCAAATAAGGTGCACCACCAACAACAATTTAAATAACTACACTAACTACAACTACAAGCAGTTATAAAACATGACAATATATTTCGACATCAGCAGCATCAGTGCTACGAATAGTAATACTTGAATATTACTGTGCACTCCTCACCGTAGCAAAGCCGAAGCACGCACTATCGAGAGTGAAGACGAAAAGCCAGAAGAAAGGCGAAGGGATAGACAGTTACGAGGAGCATCTAGACCGTCGGGCAGACAACATCAGGCAGCAGCAGTGGCGAGGATTCTGCCCGAACAATTACGTAACCACTAGGAGTCGCACGGTTGGATTTCGCTGCAATAAGGGAATGTACCCCTTAGAGTACATGGCTAGTGAGGTCGTTTCGAATTCCCCTGTACACATATTTATATTACTTGTACTGCACGTTTTTATTATCTCAAAACATTTTACATTCACTCTTCTATTGAGGTTAAGGGCCCACCAACATCACTTCTCTGCGTGCGATCCTTCCTGAGTAGATCCTAGGCCATGATCAACTTCTTATCGCAGCATGTTATGAGAGCGACTTAGGAATCCTTCGCACCGCCATCTCCGAAATCTGCGACATTCCGAAAGTGGCATTTGGCACACGATCACGTGTAAGAATCGCCGGAGGATCTGGAGGTCAGACGAATCTGACGGCTGAAGTGAGAAACGTTCCCGGCTGCGACAAACGAGGAAACGACGACGATTCCCTCCGCCGTCCTTGCACAACTGCTTCAGCGACTCACGAGCCTCGAGCAAGGGCTCTAGACATTGCGGAATGGCGATGCGGGAACTTCTTCCCAACCCACTCAACCGGCCTCAAACGGCCAAAACTCCGCCCCGCAAGGCTTCTCCCTAGATACGAATGGCTCAACCCCCAAGACTCCCTGTCCCAGCGATGAAGCAATTCTCTCCGTGCAATCAAGGCTTTTGAGCATATCAAAAATAAAGACAAGTGTGTGCTTTGACGGCAGAGACTTTTACCCCTGGAGCTTCGAGCTGGAGCTGCTGCTGCAAAACGCGCAGATTTATCATTATTTCGACGGGAGCTACTTGGGACCTGTTGAGGACACTGACGACGCAAGGACTCGCTATTATAACGAGTCCCTGATGTCGTACGGAATTCTTCTGCGTAACATGTCGCGGGCGGAGCAGCTGAACATTCGTTCATACAAGACATCGGCTGCCCAAGCCCTCGACGCTTGGCGCCACCTGAACGGCGTGTATCAGCCCAAGGACCCCGTCTCCTCGAGCCGACTACTCCAGCAACTGCTGGAAACTAAGATTACCTCAGGGGAGAAAGTCAACAGTTACATCAACCGCTGTCGGAGCCTTCGCGATCAAATCGTGAAGTTGGGAAGCTCGATTTCCGAGGAAATCTTCGTGAACATTGTGCTTCAAGGGCTTGGCCTAGAGTGGCGGCCTTGCAAGGCGCTCCTCCGACAGCTGGGGGTCATCTCGGAGGCCGCCTTTGTGGCGCCCTTCTCGTCGAACAACGGGATATGGATCAGCAGCGACCAGCGCCACGACGAGAACGCGAACGGCTCGCCTTCTACGCCGACAACAACGAAGAGCGACGACCGCGGCGCCTCTACTGCAAAATCTGCAGAAACTTCGGGCATTTGGCGGATCGATGTAAGTCCCGATCTCGCCCTCGCCAGACCAATTCGAGCAACTGATCCGGCCGACAAGACCCACGAGGCAACGTGCCTCCAGCCCAAGGGTATCAACCCCCACCCGCGCGCAATCTGAACTCAACCGTTCAGCATCAGCGGCAGCAGCCATCAACTGCCCCTACGCGCAACGTCATGAGCAACATGGCCATGTCAGGCGAGTCACGTCGTCGCCGTGTTCGCTCACCCTCACCTGAGCCAGCACCGCACCCCATCGGCGCGTTCACCAACAACAACCCGTTCAGCCCGCGCCGCAACTTCAACGACGACGACGACCAAGACTGGAACCTCCCAGTCCCGCTGCTTGAAAGTCCCCCGCACATACCAGACATGCGGGTGGCGCCACTTGATTGGCTCTTGCGCAAGCAATTTTTGAAGTCCGACACCCCACACATCGTCACACCGCGATTGGCGCTGCTCACACGGGACGACAACAAGCGCTATAACACCTAGTGTGAACAAATGAGGAAAATGAAGAAGGGAGGGGCTTCACTAGAAAACATTGGGATACATATAGCAAACCCTAAAAGAGTTGTACTCACTATAGAGTACCCCACTGCAGACTAGAGAAAAATAATATTCTGAC